CAGGCACCACATTGGTGGAAAACCGGGGAGCTGCCCTGTCCCTCTGAGGGCAAGGGTGTGCTTCAGCAGCTGTCTGTTGCCCGTCAGGAGCAGGGGTGACTCCTGGGATGAAGGGCGGTCCTAGGTGTGTGTCCTCGGTACACCTGCGACGGCCCACCCTCCAGGGCCCTTCGTGCTGTCATGCTCTCCTCTCTTGGTGTCCAGGCTGCTTCAGGCGTGTGGGAAGGTGAAGCGGCAGCTTTGCGCCGTCTACCGTCTCAGCTTCCTGTCCACGGCCCCGGGCCGGGGAGGCCCGCATCTTCCCCAGCAGCTGCAGGACCAGGTGCAGACACTCATGCAGTAAGTGTGGGTGTGGCATTTGGGTCACCAGAGTGGGAGTTGGGGCCCCGCACCACACCCTGCCTCCCCTGCTTCCTCGGCAGAGAAAAGCTGACGGACTGGAAGGACTTTTTGTTGGTGAAGAGCAGGAGGAACATCACCATGGTGTCATATCCTGATGCCTGAGCACCAAGAAGCCCCTCACGTCTGCCTGTCCCCACCACCTGCCACTCTGAAGGACTGCTGGCTTTCTGGAAGGAGTGTATACGTTCCACCGCCTCAGCTTCTTCAAAGAAAAATGATAGGAGATGTTGTCATGGATGTCTTGTCCGTAGGAACACTCCAAGGCTGAAACTTCACAAACCCCTGCTGTCCCACAGTTGCTTCATAGCTTCAGAGAGCGTTTATGTTGACGTCCAGCCAGCGGAGTGGTAACAGGTGTTGCAGGCGGGCAGGGGTCCTGGGGTCAGGGAGGTTTGAGAGGCCACGTCTTCCTTAGAAGTCACAGTACACAGTGGGACATGAAGGCTCTGAGGAGGCCTGCACCAAATATGTTTATCCCTGTTTAAAAAACCATCTGCAAGACCTGTTTGACCCTTTTATTCTGGAACACTAGTTTTATCAAATACTAATTTTCCCTGGAACTTTATAGAAGGAGTTTTTCCTGTATTAAGATCTCTAAAATGTCAGGCCTTCAATCTCCCAAGACTCTTGCCTGTGGTATGCGGGTGAAAGGGATGACAGAGGCCCTCGTTAGCCAGCAGCCACCACCCTGCCATGTTGGCTGTTCCCCTCTCCAGTGGGAACCTTCCAGCTTCACAGGTGATGTGTGGAGAGATGAACAAAACCACGCCGAGGTGTTTGGGTTGGGTAGTCAGCTAGGCTCATTCATTAGGTAACTCTGCTCTCACACCAGCCTCACCACATGTAAGATTTAGGCTCATCCCTCATGAAAATGATAAAATACAAACAATACCCTATTGCTCTTAGGTCCAGAATTCCCTGTGTTAAGTGTGCTAGTATCAAGGGATCCATTTTATTTGCATGATAGAATTTCTCAGCGCTGGGGAGTTCAGAGGTAAAGAGATCCAGGAAAACAGGGACACCAGGGGTTGACTGACAGGGCAACCTGTGGGGAGAGGAGGGCTTGGTGGGCCTGGTCTCCTGACTCCACTGCTTAGCCTTGCTAGAATCCTAGGTGGAGGACAGAGTAGCACCTTCCCTGGTCCCTGGCTTTATGAGCTCCTTAACTCTGACCTTCACCTACCTAGAAGACTTCCCAGGCTTGGTGCATTTCATCTATGTGGACCGCACGACCGGCCAGATGGTGGCCCCTTCCCTCAGCAGTAGTAAAAGGACTTCATCAGAACTGGGCAGGGGACCGCTGGCCGCCTTCATCAGAACCAAGGTAAGCATTGCCCGGCCCGGGTACTCTTCACCCCTGTCGGACAAGATGTGCGGCCTGCCCCCTGCTCAGGAAGGACTGATGCCCCACCCTTGGGGCTCCCGTGAGGCCCCAAGCGCACCCTGCCCCCCTTAACCGGTACCGTACTCTTCTGTCAGCATCTGCCCCCAGCTGCCTGTGGCTTCCTAAGGCTAGCAGCCGGTCTTTGTCACTCTAGGGCCCTGGCCCTCGGGGCCACGTGGGCACCTTCCTGGGTGTCTTCTAATATGCTGCATAAGCACATCTGGGCAGTGGGTTCAAAGGGGGAAATGACCAGGACTTAACATTGTGCTTGGCTTAAATAAATTCCAGTAAGTATTTGCTGAATTAACTCACGTGGGAGGACGAGACACAAGGTCAGTCAGTTTGGATACAGGATTTAACAGGAGGTGGTTTGTACTGAAGAACCATTCCCTGGGGGGTCCTGTATTCGTTCTCCTTAACTGACTATTTCATAGCAAACTAGTATAGGTGTATTTATATACTATATACATAGCATGTAGCATAGTATATAAACATATATTAGAGTTGTCTAAAGAAAGTATATTGCCGATGGTTAAAGTAAAGAGGGCAACAGAAGGCCTGTGCCGGCTCTGCCTTTCCCTGGCTGTGGGGCTGAGGTATTACTTAGTCTGAGGTTCTGTGTCCTCATCTGTAAAAGGCTAGTGATACTATTGACGTCCTGGAGTTGCAGAGATTACAGATGCGTGAGATGCTGCATGTTGACTGTTTAGCACAGTACGTGGCACAAATGATACAATTCATTGAGCATTTACTGGTACCATCCTCTTCACCCATCTTTCTGGAAGTTGTTGGAGTTCTCTCTCCGCATTTCTTTTCACTGTTTTTCTGTGCAGCTCGTTGTCCTTGGTTATAATTGCATATTCTGTGTATGCAGTGTGTTTACCCACAGTTTCACTTTACTTTCCATCTGATGCATTTCCTCATGTCATTAATTCTTTATAAACATGATTTTTAACAAGTCCACAGTAGTCCATCATGTGAACGTAACATAATTTCCTTAGCCATTTCCCCAACGTTGAGCATTTAGATTGTTTCCAGGCTTTCGTGGTCGTAAATAATTCTGCAGTGCACACCTTTGTGCGTCCATCTTTGTCCTCATCTCTGATTCTTTTCTCAATATGGATTCCCAGAAATGGAATTATTAAGGCAAATGGGAGGAATGTTTTTAAGGTTATTGATACCTGTTGTCAAATTGCTTTCCTGAAAAATATAGCAAATCCATGTATTTGTTTGCAGATGTAATTAGACATGACATTGTGGTCTGGCTTGCAGTGAATCATGTACACCTTCCACTAAGCCTTTTGGTGAGAGAGCTCATCAGGCCTTTTGCAGCCCTGGGAAATGGGGGACCCAGGCTGTCCAGGCTGCCCTCCCGTGGGCAGTTCACAGGCAACGTTAGGAAGTCCTTGAATGAGGCAAGAGAATATCGCCCGGGGGATGTAACCCATATGAGCACCTGGTCACTGTGTTTCTGTCGAACTCCTTGGTGAACCCTAGTTGGGACTTCACCCCTGAAGCAGAGGACATGCCTGACTCAGGGTACTCAGTGTGTTCCAGCAGTTCACCAGCACCTTCCTGGCACAGAACCTATGCCAGAGTTGCAGGCCCTGGAGGGGATGGGGAGGGGGGGAATGGGTGGCCACACCTTCATTTCCTGTTCTACTAACTTAACAATGCCCTTGGGCGATTTTCGGGGTCTGGTGATCAGTTTACTAACGGATGGCTTCGGTATAAAGTTACTTCACGTGTTTTTATGTATATTTTATTGTCACAGTGTTTGGAGGGGTAATCCGTCCTAGTCCATCCATCCAATAATTTATTTCTGAGCTCCTGCTCTGACCCAGGTCACGCCCTGACACTAAGGAAAAGGGGGAGAAGGAGCAGCCGCTGGCCTACTGAGAGCTCCTTCTCTGAGTGCTTTTCTTCCAGAGGCAAGAGCCTGAGTGAGGCCTAGCCCCACTGTGGGGAGGGGGCTGGCCCCGCAGGCCATGGTGGGCAGGGCAGCTTCGAGCGCTTTCCCTGTTTCCCCAGGTCTGGTCTCTGATCCGGCTGGCCCGCAGATACCTGCAGAAGGGCTACACCACGCTGCTCTTCCGAGAGGGGGACTTCTGCTGCTCCTACTTCCTGTGGTTTGAGAACGAGATGGTGGGTGTGGCCAGGCCCGGGGCCGGCCATCCTGAAATGCTCTTCTCTCTGCTGACTATAATACTCTTCTTTTGCTCTCTGTTCAGTCCCTCTGTCTCTTCATCAATTCTTGTCCCTAGTGGGACTGACAGGTAAGCACAGCCTTTGGGACCCGGATCTCAGAGGTCCCACTTTCATGTGCGCCTTGTGACCCCTCCACCAGCCGTCTGAAAAGCTCAGGCCGTCAGGCAAGGCAGTGTCCAGGTAACACGTGGACGAATGGGTGTGTGCCCCTTGAGACGGGCTGCTCGGGGTCTGGTGATCAGCTGACAGCCGCTCTTAACGAAGCATGGCACACTGTCATTCCCAGGGTAAAGGCGGATAAACTGAGGTTCAAAGCAGTGAAGCAACCTGCCCGAGGTGAAGATGACAGTATGGCCTCCTATTCCCGTATTTCTCTCTCTAGACTCACTGTTTCAACAGTGTAAGCACAGGTCATGGGAGCTTGGTGTCTCTCTCTTGCTCTCTCTTCTCTTTCCTGTTTCTCTTTGTTTTGTGTTCCAGCTCTGTAGGGGCCATTCCTTCTGGCCTGAGAGCGATGGCCAGTGCTTTCCGGAATGTAGGGTGCTTACTGGGTCCCTCACCACTCTTCTGGCAACCTCACATCCTCCCATGGGCCATGGTTGGGGGCGAGTATCATTGGACCCATTTTACAGATTGAGACACTGATGCCTGGAGATTAAACTCCGTGGCCAGAGCCACCAGGATCATAAATGATGAAGCCAGAGCCCAGACTCGGCTCTCCTGACCTGCAGGCTCCTCTTTGCACTCGGTGCCCAGGATGTGTGTACAACCTTTACCTGGGTTTCTAGGGGGAGACAGGGCTTCGTGTGTGTGGCTGGAATGACAGAGTGACAGACTGAAGCAGAAGTGTGGGGGACAGAGCTGGCTGTGGGGGCTGCCTGCACCTGTGCCGTCTTGGGCAGCCACTTAATACGCCAAGGGCACCTCACCCACACGATGGGCCCCACAGTGCCCACGTGGGCATTGGAAGGAACCCCATGACCAGGACTGGGACACAAGCTGCCCAGCAGGTCTTAATTTCCTTCTCCTCCTCATCCTACCCTGGAGATTTCTGTCACTTCCAAAACAGGGAGTTGGGCCTTTTGATAATGTGTTGCCCTTCCAGACCCTGCATGACACCTCCTTGGGTCGCCTTCCTGGCAGCCTTCCTGAACCCATGCTGGCCACTGACCCAGGTGCTCCCATTGATGAGAGTGAGGGCTACCACACGTGGACCAGGCAGGACACTCAGAACTTTATATACGTCACCTCCAGTGTTCACTGGGTGGTTACTGTTATTCCTACTGCACAGATGAGAAAATGATGCAAAAAGAGGTCCAAACAGCAAGCACTCACCAAGCAGGGCTGAGCCAGTCCTTGAACATGGTGTCTGACTCGTGCCCATGTTCTTTCCACCGTACCTCCACCTCCCATTCAAGATGTTTCTCCTCCTCAGGGGTACAAACTCCAGATAATAGAAGTGCCCGTCCTCTCGGATGACTCGGCCTCCATCGGCGTGCTGGGAGGAGACTACTACAGGTGACCCCAGTTTACAAGACTGTTGGGAAGAGTGGGTGCCCAGATAAGTGCCACTCCCCCATAGAGGAGCAGCTCCTCCTTCAGGAATGCCCCCCTAGAAGCTCCTTCCTGCCCAGCCCCGTGTTCAGTGAGAGAGGGGTGGGCACGGAGCACACCCACGTTTCTGCCCGTCTCCTGGTTCCCACACTCTCAGCAGCATCTGCCGGCATCCGCGCTGGGGCCCTAGGGCTTCCCCGCTGGCTCTGTGGCATCCCTTAGCTTGGACACTGCCATCACCAGACCCACACGGGGAACCCCAGGGGGTGGCCCGTGCAGCCTGGGGCTGATCCTCCTGTGGTTAGGTCAGCGAGGGGCGGGAAGGCTTTGCCAGCCAGGTGCTGGGGCCTCGCGAGGTGGCAGTGCCTGTGCCGTGCTGGGAGAGACCCCTGGTTCTGGGAGGGCTGCCGCAGCCTCGTACCTGAATCCTGTCCCCCGTCTTCCTCCAGGAAGCTCCTGCGCTACTATAGCAAGGGCCATCCCGCTGAGGCGGTCAAGTGCCACGAGCTGCTGGCCCTCCACCTGTCGGTCATCCCCACAGACGTGCTGGTGCAGCAGGCCGGCGAGCTGGCCCGGCGCCTGTGGGAAACCTCCCGCGTCCCCTTGCTCTAGGGGCCAGGGCACAGTGCTCCGGCGCGGTCTGTGTGTATCCTGGTCCCCTCGTATAGCACTCACCTAGGGATAGCACAGTCCCCGGGGTCTCTTGAACCCCTTAGACTAGTCTCCCCTCCAAGTAACAAACCCCCAAATCCTTGTCTCTGGAGGAGGAGGGAGGCCAGAGAGGGTCCCTTGGTCTCCTTAAAACAGTAGTGGCTGCGAGGTTAGAACTGGGTCGGCTGCTTTCAGAGCTGCCTCTCCATCTATGCCCAGGAGACAGGAAGTCCCCAGTGCCTGCAGGTGTCTGAAGATGCCTCCTCATGCTGTTGGAGTGGAGAAAGAGCTCCCTCAAGAAGCCATTTCCTTCTCCAGATGAAAGGTGCCGCCCTAGCCGGGCTGCGATTCACGCTGTGCCTCTTCCTCCCTACGACCCTGGGCAGGTTTCCTCCACCGATAGCCCCTACCTCTCAGGGTGGCCGTGAGGGCTGCCGGACACATGGCAGGTGCTCAATAAATGCTGGTGGTGGTGGTTCAAGCCAAACGTGCCTGGGCTCCTGGGCTGTCCTTGGTGCCCAGCAGTCTGGCCCCTTTGCACCCTGCTCTGTCTCGACTCCTTCCCAGCTCCCACGCAGAGGTTTGTGTCACTTGGGCCTGTGGATCCCAGGTATAGGTTTTTGAAAACATGCCAGCCGACCGCTGTGTGCCCTGGGTTGAGAACCCCAGCCCCGGGTGGTGCAGTCCCTCTCCTCTAACCTAGAAGCTCCCACCCCAGGAGACACACAAGAACAAGAGACCACCAGAGCCCTGGGACTGGAGAGCGTCCGCCGCAGGGATGAGAGAAGCGCCATGGCAGAAGTAGGCACCCAGGCCCCCTGTATGACATGCTGACAGCAGCCAGGCCTTCGGGTCTCTAGTCTTGAGCCGAAACTCGTGCAGAGAAGACTGTTCTTTTCTGTTAAGGGAATAGCTGGTGGAGGTGGAGGTGTGGGGGGGAGGACAGAGGTACTGAAAGAGCTAGAAGGACATCTCACACTAACGTCCTCAGAAGGTGGCAGTGAGGGACATTGTCAGCTGAGGTGACTGGGACTGCATTCCTTCATGATATCTTGACTTAATGAATGGAGATTTCAAACCTCAATTGTGTAAGACCCAGAAGAGCACGAAGGGGAAAACTAAGTGTAGAAGCCCACTGCTCTGTAGGGTATCCACTTTTGTCCCCTGATAGTTTTCCTTAATTTTGAGCAGCTACGTGATGTGACACATCTGGTTTAACCAGTCCCCTGAATGTTTCGATATTGTAACACTGGGGTGGACATCCTGCATCAGATTTCAGCAGAGATTTACACATGGTGTAAACCTGGAGTGTCAGGGTGTCTCAGTCACAAGTAGAAGGTTCCACAGAAAGCTCTCCTACTCAGATGCACCTTCTCCACAAATTCTCCCAATTTTAAGATGCATTTCTAATAGTGGGTTTCTAGAATACTGACAGATGTCATAGCAGTACAGACACTCAACTCCTACGGTGTTTTTTTCCTACCGTAGAGAAGTGGCCTGCTAGCCAATGGGCAGAGAACAAAGGAGCACCTGATACAAGGCAGGCCAGAGGGTACCAAGGAAGGGTGTTAGCTGAAGATCTTTGCAGATGTGATCTTTAATCCTTGAGGATTTGGGGAAATGGGAAAGGTGCCAAAAGACAGAAGACAGATGACCAGTCCTTCAAAAGAAAAAGGTGAACCCCCATCCCTTGCAAGCTTCTGAGGCGGCCTGTTGAGTGCAGGGTGCTCAAGTGTCTGGGAGAGAACACGCAGCTCTCGGGGGGACCCCAGCGACAGATGTGGCCCTCATTGTACTGAGGCTCTGGTCACGGAGACCCTGTGGGGTTGCCTGGGCCTGCGGTGGGTGTCGAGCCCCTCACCATCCTGAAGGCGGAAGGCTGTGGCCCTAGAGCAGTCTCACAGCACGTCCTCTGGACTTGTTCCCCAGCAAATCCCAGACATTAAACCCCTTAATGAGAAGCAGGACAGTGCTGGGGAGGGGGCCCTGCCAGCACACTCTCTGCCTGCATGACCTCCCCGGTCCCTTCTCTGAGCCTCAGTGGCCCTGGTCCATAAAATGGGGTTTCTAGGGTTTCCGTGAGAGGCTGGGGACTGTGGTCGGCACAGCCCCCCGCACATGGGAGCCCTAGAGTTAACCGCACAGTGCCTGTTCTACGTTTTGGAGGTGGCACGACTTCTGCCCGGTGAATGGGTGACCTCCCGAGACTCTGCCCTGCCTGGACTCTGCAGGCTGCATGTCCTCTGAGTAGTCCTGGCCCAGAGCCAAGTATGGCAGCTGGACTACAGCTCCTCCTCTCTTCCTGTTCTCTCCCTGCCCCTCCTCCTGCCCAGGCAGCACAGAAAGCTGATTGTAAGCAAATTCCTGGCCTAGTACTGGGCAGAAATGGCTGCAAGTGGCCGAGGACTCAGCCGGGGCATAGGTGCCTCTTCTTGCCCTGCTTGGAGAGGAGCTCATTGGGAAGCCAGAGGACGCCTAAAGCCTGAGTACGATGCCGTGGTGATAGGAGCAGGTAACCAGGATGTGCTGGGGCTGAGGGGCAGGAAGGTGGCCCTGCTCAGAGCCCGGGGGGTGGGGGAGTGGAGTTGGGGGGCGCACTCCCAAGCCCCACCCCTCCCTCTCCTCTGTCCACAGGATGGCCAGGGTTTGGGCCAGAACAGAGTCGGGGGGCGGGGCGGGGGTGGAGCCCACTTAGTCTGCGAGCAGGCACCAAGGTTGTGGGGCTGGCTCTGCCATCAACTTGCTGTGTGGTCTGGGGCAGACCCTTGCCCTCTCTGGGCTTTGGTGTTCCCTTCTAGAATGACCAGAGAAGAATAGGTGAGCGCAGGGGTTTCCATGTATCTCCTGCAAAATTAGCCCCTTGGCACCACATTCTTAGAAAGCGTATGGTACACAAGGATTGGAAAGAAAGAGCCTTGGGATAACAGACCCATGAAATCCAGTCATACCAAGTGCCCTGACTTCTGGTCGCCACCACTTCGCCAGTAAGACCATGTATCCGGCAAGGAAACTGGACGGTTCTATAAAGGGGGGTTAGGGAAAAATAGAAATGAGTCGCGTGTCTGCAGAGGCTAACAGCCCCTGCTGTCTTTCTTGCACATCTGCTGCACTTCGCTGACCCCCAGGCTACAGAGTGTCTGATTCTGACACGTGACTGTGTGAGGGCGTGGGGCTGGGAGAAGGTTACCTTTGCTCAGATCCTTCCATTCACACCCCCTAGGGGCCTCTTCTGGCATTCTCTCCCACTGGGCTTAGACAGACAATGGCAGGATTGAAAGAAGACGTTGGTTACACAGCTTTAAAGCTGCATCCTGTTCTGACATCTCTTCATTTTTGTATGTTCTAAGAGCAGTCATGGCCAGTTAATGTTTTTAACGGTCTCCTCTCCAGGGAAAAATGTGTGCAAATACATATACATAAGTTTAGTATAAATACTGAAATGAAAGAAGCATAGCACACGATTTTACAAATAAGATACGCAATACTCTAAATTCCAGGTGGCCAACTGGCTCTCCCCAAATTTCTGGGATTTTTGCTATACTTAGCAACTTTCTGGTTCCTACTGACAAATAAGGCTAGTGCCCAAGGGAATGTTTGACCTTTTGATTGACTTCAAAGAGTAGAAGTGAAGCAAAGCAACAAAGGTACATCTGAACTTCACTTGTTCCATGACGGGAGAGACTTCACTCAAACAGATCATGTTTTTCCCATTCTGGGAGAATACTTTCTTAATTCTTTGTGCTTTTTCACGATGGAACAGCCAGGGACACAGCACACGGTTGGGTTTCATCTGCATTGTTAGCGTTTTCTCCGTTGCTTTCATAACTCTAACCATCAACAAAGCAATATATGGAGCCACGATATGTAATGTTCACTGACTTTCATGGTGCAAATACTCCCACCATGGCCACCTTCAAGTTACCACGGTGACGCGGTTGCATGTGAATTTGGAAAAGAGTCGCAGCAGCCCACTGTGACACAGTGCAGCCTGCTGACGGCTGCTCAGAGGTAAAAAACCACAAGAGCATAGGTAATTGTGACACATAGTAATATGATGTGGGAAATTGACAAGTTTTGAGTATGTATGACCTTTGTTTATAATTTATTTCACCATAAGTTTATATAATTTAAATTGTAGCAATGGCTGTGTTTGACAACTGTCACAAACCTCCTGGCTGGGGGGAAACCAGCTGTAGACCTAACTGGGTGCAGTAAATGGCACTGCGCCCCCCCCCCCCCCCCCCCAACTCCCTTTCTGCCCTTGGTGACGGCACACCCCTGCTGCCTTCTGGCAGGGACAGTTGACTCCAGGTCACCAGATGCCAGGGTGAATAGCCCACATGTGTGTGAGTCTCAGGTGTGAGTTTTTGCTTGACATTGTTTAATTGCTACACACAAAGGGAAGCCCCGTTTAAGGGCATTTGGGGACCACGTAAGGAACAGAGTGGCCATCTTCCGAGAGAAGGGTTATCTCTGCTCCCTGAGGTCACACCACTACCTGGGAGCCACCTTGAAGATGACCCTGATTAGTCACTTGACTAAATATGCCTAAGAGTGACCCAAGGAGCTTGTTAAAATGCAATTCCTGGGCCTTGCCCCTGGTGATTAGGTCAGCACATCTGACCAGAATTTGGAGTGGGCCTGATGCGGGCGGCTGCAGGCCACATTTGAAAGTCCGAGTCCAGAGCAGCTTCCCTCACGAGTCCCATGTGCCTGGCTATCTATGGATCCCTGGAGTAAGGCTGGAGGTTATCAGAGCCTGTAGCTTAAGACCCCCTCACAGGGGAAGGAGAGGTCACCAGAAGCCACAGGAGGGCCCAGGCAGGACCGGGGATGGACTAGTGGAGGAAAGAGGGTCCTGGGCTGATGGAATCTTGACCTTTGTCATTTGAGGTCTGTTTGTGCATCTATGGGCTAACGCGTGATGACTGAACTGGACCGAGTTGCCTGGAAGCTTTTATTCAGATTCTGAGATTTATGATCACTACTCAAGAGACAAATAGCTACCATTTATTGTGGGCCTGCCCAGGGTCAGGTGCTTTACATATATTATTGGTTTTTCTCCCTCCAACACTGCAAGAAGCCCAAAGCTCATGGCAAGTCAGAGTGACTCTCCGAGGGCCATGTTCTGTAAATAGCAGAAACCAGGTTGAGCCCAGGACAGTCTGCCTTTAATTTGATGTATATATTAGAGAGCAGGACTTTTCAAACTGCAGGTTGCAACCCATTCATGAATCCCATCCAGCATATTTTTTAAACCTTATTAAGAAACTTTTCAAAATATATGAAAACAGTAGGTTAGCTCATCTTTCCAAATGAAATATAATCAAATGGATCTTCACATGCTTATCACGTGGATGAGTTGATATTGTTCATGAAGCTTTTGTCTGTTAAATACATTTCTAGGTGGGTTGTGTACCAAGTCACGGTGTAAAATGCACTTCCTCCTGTGGCTCATGGTCAAAGGGAGTTGAAAAGCTCTGTTTTAGAGATTCCTTTAATGGAAGAGAAGTTGGCTCAATGACTTCTCAAATTCTGGGAGTCTGTGTGTGGAAAATGTAAAACAAAGTCAGCTCAGCCATGAAGAAATCCATCATGTGGGTCATTGCTGCCTCCTATTTATGGATGTTTGTCAAATTAATGGCTGAACGTTTTATTTGAGTGAACGCCGGGTTCAGGTTGGTGCTCAGAGAACATAGTCTTCTGCTGACATCCCTGAAGACTCAGAGTGACCTTCTGTCACCAAGGAGGAATGTGTGCCAAGTGTTCCAGACAAGGCCTGTCCCCACTACTTGAAAACAACCAGGGCCTGTTCTCTGCCCGACAAGGGATTCTTCATCAGCAGCTCCGAGTTATCCTGAGAGTGAGGGAAGAAGAGGCCTCCCACCCCACCGGCTGTGCTTGGCTCTGATGGCCACATCAGAATGACCTGGGGGCTTGTGAGAAATCCATCCCAGGGCCCCGCCTTCACCCTGCTGAGCTGACTCTGGGGAGGGGTTCTCGGGTGGTCCTGAAGCTTCTCGAAACAGGAGAAGCACTTGCTACCAGGGGGGCCTGGTGTGCAACATGGGATCCCAAGTCAAGTTTAGGGCTCCTAACCCAGGGGCAGCCCTCCTAAGATCTTTGGAAAGAAACTTAAACATGTAAAATAGCAAAGTTCACCCAATCAGCTGGCACTCCTTAAGCTGTGTTCATTTACTTCATTTTGAACTGTTCCCATCTTACCCCAGGAATGTTGGTGGTTGACAAAGACAAAGTCATGTGACTAAAGCCTTCCGGGGCACTATAGTGAACCACGCTTGGGGAGAACAAGCCACATTGGACAGCAGCCGTCCACATGCCCACCACGCACCTGGACGGCCGGTGATTCCACACCTGACAAGGAGGGCTTGTCTGCCTAGCAGCATACCAGCCACGCTCCCCTTCTGTCCCTGCCACGGAAACCGTGACTCTCCCTCACCAGTCACTTGCTCATCCCCAGGTGCTGGGAAGCCCAGCAATGCGAGGCTTCGTGAGATAGCTTTTGTCTGATGACTGGATTTCTCCTCACCCATCACTCCAGCGTGGAGCCACTGGCCAGGCCAGGGTGACGGGACATTTTTCGAGCCAGGACAAGAACCAGGGTTTTCTGACTCCCCACAGACCAGGTGTTTTATGGCATCAAGCTAGATGCTGTTGCAACATCCAACTCTCTGCTACCTCCCCAGGATCTCCACGAGCATGGGGACAGGGATGGGTGACCACGTTCCTCAGGTACATGTCTGTCTGCTTGCTGACCACTGCTGCTCTCCTCCTCTTTCCCTTGTCTCATTGCAGGACACAATGGGCTGGTGGCTGTGAGTACCTCCCCCTCTGCCCCACTTCATGACCCCTGGACATGAGGTTGTCGCCGGAATGTGAGGAAGCAGGCAGGGTGTGGGCCACAGGAGACATGGGGAGGCAGGCTAGCCTCCTCTCCAGGGCACTGATTGGTGGCTGTCAAATGGATTTCTTTGGTAGTTAAGGAGGGTATCAGAGGCTCTCTTTCCTCTCCTCTCCATAACATATGTGCATTTCCCCCATGACTTTGGGAGAATCAGGGAGCTTTCAGAAACAAGATGATGAAGAGGTGGGAGCATATGTAACTGACATAGGCTGGGAGACATGTCAGAGCCTGGGGAGCTGAGGCCTGGTGGGTGGGGCCCTCTGACTACAGATGAGGGGGCGGTCCTTGCGTATATAGTCCCTGTGCTGCACAGCTGGGTCTCCGCCATGTGTCACCCTGAAGTACCCAGCAGCCACACAGCCCCAGGTATACCCTGGAGACAGCGAGGAAGCCAGGCTAGCAGAGGAGGCAGGGCCCTGCCCCAACACCACTGGCTTCTAGGTCCAAAGCTGAGCCAGGTCAGGGCTATCCTGAGGCTGTGCTTCTCAAACTCTGGTCCCTGTACCCCTAGAAAGCTAAAGTGTGTGCTAAAGGTGTTCACAAGACAAGCACGGTACATCCTCCTGAAGCAGAGGCTGCTCTAGAATATCCATACGGGAGGACTTCGCAATGCTGGGGAGAGGGGGCCGTGAGACTTGCGTGAAATCTTAATCTTTTTCCCTGACATATTAGTTTTACTTGAACATTTTACGGGGAGTGCTATGTAACTCAACTGATCAGTAATTTAAAACATTGATTTTATGTTAATATGAACACAGGCTCATCCCCCAGCTCTGCCACTTTCTATCTGTGAAGGTCAAGGCAAGTCATTTAGGCTCTCTCAACCACGGTAAAAGAATAAAAATGCCCAGTCTCAGAGTTGCCATAAAGCCAGCAAGTGACATGCCTTAAGGACCAGCCACACAAAGCCTCACAGATGGGGACTCTTGTTATTGGAGGTTCCCAGCCCAAGGGAGGTTGGTGTCAGTGCCCTCCAGCCGAAGACCCACCCAGACGCAGCCCTGCCATTCAGGGAGTTGGGTGATGACTGGCTTCGGGGGGGGGGGGGGGGGGTGGGTGCAGCTCAGGAGAAGGGGGTTAAGAAGAGCCTGTTCTAGGATATGAACTCTGGTTGGATGATCTGGGGGGCAAAAGAGGGGTTTGCTCTAGACTGGATACTGTCAGAGCAGGAATGCCCCTGCGACTAGCATCTCGATAAATCTGATCTATGGGGAGAGGGACCAGTAGGAGGAGAGGATAACTGGTAAGGAAGCAGCAACCACTAATTTTGGCCAAGAGAGGAGGCGGTGTTGGGTATCTTGCGGGTGACCCAGAGCCCTTGTTTTATGTTTGTACTCAGACAAAATTGTGAGATGGGCTTGTTCTGTCCCATTTATCATGGTCTCAGTCTGAGGTTGTCATTCTGTGAGGCTGCTCAAGTGTTATGGGAGAGTATGGTTTATGGCCAAGGGCCAGGCGGCTTCCCAATGCCAGAGTGGCTTTTTTTCTTCCACACTGAGATGTGTCAGGAGTATAGATCCTGAGTCCAGACCATCTGGGTTCAATTCCCAACACCTCTACTCTGTGAGCCTGAGGCAAGCTACCTCCTTGGGCCTCAGTTTCCTCATCTGTGAAATGAGGAGAATCATAGCACGCGCCCCTAGGGTTGTGAGGTGGATTAAATGGGGTGATGCACTCACAGGGTCTGGCACAGAGTCATTGCCAAGTAAACTTTTAGAAACAAGCTTTCTGAGTTACACCGTTTCTGTTGTTATCTTGACAGGGATGGTAGTGGGAGGACCAGCACTGCAGGTCTGTAGACTCAGGTCCAGTTCAGTTTAACAGATACTTATTGATTTCCCACTAAGTGCTAGGAAAAATTAATAAAATCCCTGCAATATTTGTCCCCTCGCCCCCCAAATAAAGCTGTGCTATAAAGGTAGCTTCCTCTCTTGGGCACGTGCTGTGTGTCAGGGATCAGTGCGTGAAGCAGGCCAAGGGGTGTTACCATCATCAGGCCCGTATTTGCACTGGAGGAAACAGGCCAGATGGATTAGGTGCTGAGGCCGCTCCAGCAGAAAGAGGAAGTAGAGCTTGGCGGTCTAGCTTGGTGCTCACTGGGCAAGCTCACGCGCTGCCTCTGTGCTTCTGAGGAGGCACGAGGCTTACCCTCACCTAGAGGAGATGGGCACCCTGAGCGGGCCTGGGCAGGGTGCAATGTGACTTCCCAGAGCCACCCAGGCCATGCAGGAGGGAAGGTCACCTTCAGCTGGGACATGGAGGGGCAGGACCAGTCATGTTGCATCTTGCAAGACATCTGGGAAAGTGCGAATTTACGGAGGAAGCAAGGGGAATGGCATCCCCAGAGGCGGGAACAGCATGAGCCTAGGGTTAGCACGCTGGCCCTGTAGCGAGGACCCTGAGCTGGCAGGTGGGCCCCAGCGATGAAGGGAAGACCCTGTGTACCCCCCAGGCGGCGTACCTGCAGAGACTGGGGGTGAACACGGCAGTCTTCGAGAGACGCCCAATGATTGGAGGTGCAGCTGTCACCGAGGAGATCATCCCAGGTGAGCCCTGAGAGGTGGTGTGGGGGTGGCAGAGGGTGACCAGTGGTGGCCACCGGTGACTGTCTTTATCGGATTCCATTTCAGGGTTTAAGTTCTCCCGAGCATCCTACCTCCTCAGCCTGCTGAGGCCACAGATTTACACCGACCTGGAGCTGAAGGTAGAACTGCCCCCCCCCACGCCCCCCCCCTAGTTCTACCCATGGCCTGATGGTGGGGGAGGGGCGGTTCCAGCTTCCCCACCTGGGGTGAAGCCTCCCTATTTTGTACCCACGTGGTTCCCTGCACCTGGGTTCTCTCTTCTATCCAAGGGTTTGTCTACCCACATGCTCTCTTTGGTGCATTCCCGCAGATGGGTTTTGTGAAGCCTACCCAGTGCCTTAAAAATGGGAAATTTCACATAAAACTTGGACATCTTTTGAAGAACAAGCCTTGTCAACACCAGGCCCATGTTCCTGCATGCAACACTGGCTGGTGCCTTGCACGGGACTGGGGTTCCAGCTCTGCCCGGCCCCATCACCTCCTGGCATGTCACCTGGCCCTCGCTGGGTACCTGTCTGAACCCCTGGGCCTCTGACAAGAGCCCGGTTTCTTCCCTCATTAATCTTTAGATCCTGTTACCATTCTCAGTCTCTTGAGCAGGAAGTTGGACCCCAGGGATTTTCAGTTCCTCTGGCTCCTGGGCTGCTTTGAGGGGTCCTGAGAACGCTGACTGGCCCCTAGATGACTCCTCTTAGTCAGCTTAACCTTGGGCCACAGGCTGACCCAGCTCTGCCCCTGTCCTTGCAGATCACTGCCTCTTTTGTAAACTCGGTCCCCGCATTTCTGGAGCCCACTTAGCTTCTCCCTGCTTGTGCCTGGGTCACCACTACTCAGGGAAAAGGATCCTGTGTATCATCCATACAAGAAGCTGTGAGCACTTTAGCATCAACTTTGCTCTAAATTGAAAGTTTGAAATTAATAAGATCTTCAACCACTATTGCCTACTTAGAGAAATCACGGCCAACCAGGCAGGACCGGATGAAATCTAGCCAAGGCCTGGGAAAGGGTCTCTGGTCCACAGTCCACACCAGATTAGAGCTGAAGGCAACCTGCAAACGCACGCATTATACATAGTGGCAGATGTGGCTGCAGATGGGGACTGTGGGTAGACCCTCCTTTTGAAAAATCTAACTTCTGAAAACTCAGGATGACAGAATGGAAATTTCCACGAGTATTCTCTTTATAGAAGTTACTCATTTGAAAATGTTTTCTGTCATAGGGTTCCTTTAACTAGAAACTCCCAAGCGAATTGAGTGTATGACTTGACCCCTAACCTTAGGCTGCATTAATAGGAGCGTGGTGCCCAAATCATGGGACAGAACAGTCCTGCTTTGTGATGCACAGAATTAATCCCAGGCGGAGCCTGGAGGGGTGAATAGGACACTGGCAACCTGGAAGGCGTCTACAACAGGGCAACTGAAGTCGTTCTAGGAATGTCCTCTTTCCAGACAACAATAAAGAACAGTTTAATTACCAGTGTCACAACCTGGGCTACAAGCTCTAATGCTCTATCAATTGGGCTGCACCTGTGAGACAAGAATTGTTTTAGTGTTCCCGTTTTATGACAAGGGAACCGAGGTGCTGGGAGGCTAAGTTCACACACTGGGAAATGGCAGAATTTGCATTGGTCTACCTGCCTCCTGCTCCCTGTTCTTGAGGTCCAATGTGCCGCCACAGGCATCCTGATAGCGATCCTGCACGTTACAGTTTGCAATGGACAAGGTCACAGGCAGGAGCTCTCCAGGTGGGACCTGGGCAGAGGACAGGGCTGAGCTTACACACCCTAGGACCTAACAGTTTTGAATCCCTGCTTGGTGGTTTTATCAGCTGCCTTCCAGCGCCCCGTCTTTCTCATCTGTAAGGTGGGGATGGTGATAGTACCTACATGGTGAGGCTATTGTGGTGGTTTTAATAGGTTCGCTCATCATTAGTGCAGTGCCTGGGGCATGGTTAGTACTCAATAATTGTCAGCTAGCACTATAACTCCCATGTAGCAGCTGAGAAAACTGAGGCCACAGAAAGATAAGGCAGCCGACCCGGGGACCTGGGCCGGCCACTGCCTATCAGACCTGGCCACTACAGGCCTGTCCCCGGTTAGACTAAGCCCTCACCTAAAGTGTGAGGCTAGCCTTTCGTGCCACTGTGTCTCTTCCATCCTTGAGCCAGAGGGTGGTTTACCCCACCCACTCGGGGCCTCAGTGGGGCCTGCGTTCTGGATCTTAGTTTCCCCAGCTGTCAACAAGAACATCAGATTGGATCACCTCCCGGGTCTATCCACTATCCTGGTTTGCTTTGATAGCCACTCCACATTAAGCAGTGGAATCCAGGCTGGGAGGGCAGAGTTCTGCCCTGGGGGTCTTTTCTCCCGCATCAGCCAGGGGCTGCCTTATCCTGCTCTTCCTGGGCCAGCCTTGACCTCATTCAAGTGGCAACCCCTTGTCCTCCCTCCCCTTCCTCTCTGTTCTTCCGGGTCTTAACCAGATCAGTGTGCTCCCACTTTGCTCCCTGGAAACCTGATGCAAGGCTCTCAAACTTTCAGGTCTGTCAGAACAATGTGGGAAACTGATGGGACCCTGGGGGACCTTGATTTGAGGGCTGATTCTGCAGGACTATGCTGGGGCCCGGAACCACACCCTTTGAATCTCCCTTACCTCTGGTCCCTCATATACACCGTGTCCCTTCCTAGCGATTTCCACCCAGGATGCTATGCATGCTGAGAACACTTGTGGGGAAATCAGAAGAAGGGCTTTGTTTTTATAAGAGAACTGCACGATCTGAACCAATCTAATGGTGATTCAACATCCCTCTTCTGATTCTGACACCACATAATTAAAGCCATCAAGAATGGCAAAGGTTCAATTGATGAGAAAGTCCTGAGTCAGACAAAAAAAAAAAAAATCATATTCAATTAGTTCTACTTGAAATAACTCTTGGGTCCCTTATCTGGGGTGGGTTATTGATTCATTCATTCAGTAAACATTTCTGAGCCCCTTCCCTGTGTCCCGCACTGGGAGAAGCCCTTGGGGACACTGCGGTGAATGGGGGCAGCAAGGCTTCTGCCTTAGGAAGGGAACTTCAAGTAGAGGTAGGTGTTGCCTAAAGAAAGGAAAACAAGACAATATGGTGGTGAAGGACCAGAAGTCCAGCCTGGACTGGCAACCAGGAAAACTTCCCTGAGGAGGTGACATTTGAACTGACATGCGGATGCTAAGAAGTCACGAGCCTTGTGGTCACCTGAGCAGAGAATGTTCCAGTCAGAGGGAAGTAGACAGGCCCAAGGCAGAAGAAAGTAGACTGTGATGGCAGAGGGGCAGCTGAGGGTGTGGGAGAGGGGGTCCAGATCAGTTGACATAGGGCCTTGTAGGCTGTGAAGGAGGGACTGCATTTTATTCTGAGTGCCATGGGCAGAAGAAGTGGAGGGATGGAGTTTATGACTTCATGAAAGGTCAGTCCGCCTGCTGGGTGTTGTGGAATGTGGTAGAAGCGGCTGTGGTCTCAAGGAGATGGGTGAGGCAGTGGCTGCGGTAGTTCACAAGATGGTGGCTTGGGCTGAGGGGCAGTGGAGATGGAGAGAAGTAGACAACTTCTGGAGACTCGGCCAGTGAGACTTGGTGACTGTTGAGATGAGGGGAAAGGAAAAGGAGAAACTAAGGATACTTCCTAGGTGAGAAAGACTAACCTGAGAGAAACCAACCTGAAATTTTCTCCAGCTTGGATCAAATACATTTCCCCATGTTGGTGGTAGAAAGGACTCTGGAGGTCTTCCAGCCCAAACCCCTACCAAACCTTTGGACTCACCTCCACAGAATGCTCTCCCCATGGCGATCCCACCATCTGGAATATCTCTGGCCTAGGGAAATGTCAGCTGTAATTGTTGGAGAGGGCTTTTTTGGTTTCCTTGTGTTTTCCAGAACTTCTACTCACAGATCTTGTTTCTGTCTCTGGACATGTACCTGGTCTGCAACATGGCATTCATTTATTCAGTCAACAGAATACGTATTGATTGCACTATATCTAGGTGCTAAGGATATAGCACTGAGAAAAGAAACTATGTCCTTGAGTTCATAGAGCTGACATTCCACTTGGGGGAGACTGGGTAACTAAGTATGCAGTTAGCCAGGGGGCAGTAAGTGCTTCAAAGACAAATGAAGCAAGACGAGGGGGCAGAAAGTGCTGGGCTGGTAAGGGAGGCCTTGCTGCTCAGGTGACATGTGAACAGAGCAGTCAGAGAGGAGAGGGAGCTGGCCAAGGATCTGGGAAAGAAGTCTCTAGGTGCCAAATTCATCAGGTTAAACACATTAAATACATACAGCTTTTGGTATGTCACTCATAATAAAGTGGTTTCAGAAAAAAACAAGTCTTTAGTTGGAATAGTAAGTCTTATTTGTGGGGCCAGCTCAGGCCCCTTGTGTTTTATCTGTACCTCCATTGAAGAAGTAGATGTGCTCTTGGAAAGTTCTGTTTGCCAGTCAAATATTTGTAAGTCAAATCATATTTTAAATGCATCAAGGGAACTTCCATTTAAAGTGACCCTGGAGTAAATGAGTCTGCAAAGTAAATAAAATTTTTTGATGTGAATAATTTATCTACCTCGTAAGTATGGATTTTCACATAACCATTGCTTTATTGTGTCTTTCTAAATTTTAATTATTTATTTCTGAAGTGGGGGCAGTTATAGACTAGTGCTGAGAGTCAGAGCTTTGGAGTCACAGAGATGTGGTTTTGAAACCCAGATCCACCTCCCAAGGTGACCTTGGACAAGTTATGTCACTGCCCTGTGCCTCTGTTGTTGTATTTGTAAAATGAGGACAATGTACTTAGAGTTGTTGTGAGGTGATCATTGTAAACCTTAGTACAGTCCTTGGCACAGGGTAGCTTGGTGTGGTGTGGTGTAGTGTGGTGTGGGATGGTGTGGTGTAGTGTGGCATGGTGTGGTATGACATGTTGTGGTATGGCGTGGCCTGCCAAAGAGTGCCTGGGCAAGCACGCTTTTTATGCACTTACATTAGAAAATGTAAGAACCAGTGCCACGTGCCTCGGGGAACTGTTTGCAGAGACCTAAATTGTTGCAAACCCAATCAGAGAAGGGTCAAGGGCAGAGGCCACAGATCCCTTAAAATGTTGCTTTGCTATGTGTGTCCTGCAGAAACACGGGCTGAGGCTTCATCTTCGGAACCCCTACTCCTTCACCCCAATGCTGGAAGAGGGCACAGGGAACAAGGTCCCCAGGTCCCTTCTTCTGGGCACAGACATGGCGGAAAACCAGAAGCAGATTGCCCAGTTCTCGCGGAGAGATGCGCAGGTAGGGAAAGGGACTGGCAACGGGTCTCCTCCTCCCTTGCCAGCCTGGAGGTGGCTCCTGAAAGGAATTGGGCCTGGTCGGAGTCATCCTAGAGCATGTCGTCCAAAGGCCACGAGGGCTGGGACAGGCCACCCCACCTGCCCTAGGAGGGCTCCGGTCTGTGGTAGCCTCTGATCCGAGCCCTTCAGAGAGAAGGGAATGGAAGACAGTGATTAAGGCCGGTGGAGACCGGAGACCCTCAAACTATGAGGCCACTGTTCAGGTGGTCTCTGCTGGCTGAATTTCAAAAGGGAATCCACCGGTATGTACTTCTACTACGGTGCTTTCCATCTTTCCTGCTTACAACTAGAACTCCAGGTGGTTATCAATATTAAGTCCATGAAAGCCAAAAAAGAGGAATGAAGGGAGGATCGGAGACAATTATGGATAGAATGAATTGGATCAGGAATTTAGGACAAGAGATTTGTAATATTCATTCGATCTGGCATTAATCCCCAGGCAGCCCAAGGCAAGAAATTGTCCAGGATGGCATGCCGGTCTGCTGGAAGGAAGGACATAGGTCTGATGGAGAATGCATAGCTTTCCCTTGGGATTGCATTATAAGGAATTTGTTGGGTACCTTCATGTATATGAGTCATTGAGTAATCTTTTTTTTTAATGTTTATTTATTGTTGAGAGAGAGAGGAGGGGAGGGGCAGAGAGAGAGGGAGAGACAGAATCCGAAGCAGGCTCCAGGCTCTGAGCTGTGAACACAGATCCCAATGCAGGGCTCGAACTCACAAACGGTGAGATCATGACCTGAGCTGAGGTCAGATGCTTAACTGACTAAGCCACCCAGGTGCGCCTTGAGTCATTGAATGATCTTATGGGCCTGGTGTGACTGGTGTTGCAGATATAGATTCTTTAAATGGACACATTTTTGAACCAAGCCTAGACACAAGCTGAGGCATAGTATTAACTCATGTCTCAGTGAGGACAGTAAGGAGAACCTAGGTTAATACAATCCCTGTGTGTTGCTTTTTGGACTCTATTGTTGAGTAAAACCAAGAGAACTGCAGACACACAGAATCTCTCTTCAGCCAGTGGTTTCTAAGCCTGGCCGATGAGCAGAATCACCTGGGGAGCTTGCTTTTTCAAAGTGCTTCTCTTTTGTGCAGCGGGTTGGGGACGCCTGCCTCCACCCTCTCCTCTAAACCCTGACCATCTCAGATGCACCAGAGAGGATTCAGGACAAGGCCACGTCCCCAGGTCTATAGGACAGTGGCTGAGGCCTTGCGTGCTAGTGACCACAGGAACAGGAGGCAGAGGCCACATCCCGGGGTGGAAAGTAAGGAAACCGAATTCCGGTTTTATCTTTTCATGTTGTCACATTAAAGGCCTACTGTAGAGAAGGCTGCTAAGGTCATTTTTATCAAGACTTCTCAAATGTACTTCCACACAGAACTTTTCCTTCTGTAACCTTATTAAAATTCCATGGATATATTCATGAGTATAGATGAACCAAAAAATTAAAAGGTGAGGGCTGAGGATTGAGACAGGGCCCTGGTGGCAGAGGCCTCCATCCCAGCTCCTGTCACCCACCCAGTGAAGGAAGGGTGGGTGTCCTAACCACTCTGTTGCAATGGATTCTGAAAAGAAAAAGAGAAAGAGAGAAATGGACTTGGCTCGGGGGGCTTGTGGGGCGATGGGGAGTAGGCTTTTGTTTCTGCATAGGACAAGAGGATGGAGGGGATTTGCAGGCCAGGAAACAATAGTCATCATGCTGGAATACAGGGGAAGGGATCTTTTACCAGTAATACACGGGAAGACAGGACTGAGAAGAGAAACTTTAAAGTGGTTTCACGGTTTATCACAGAAACCACATCCTAGGATACTTGCCAGTTTTCTGTGGCTGACAACTGGTCTTGGCCAGCATAACTCCTTGTCCCTGCCACCACCCTACTGGCTCATGTACTGCTCAGGATTTCTCCGACCTCCTCTAGTGCTGACATCAGCTCACAGACCCAGAACTGGGAGTAATTTGCCTGAGGAGTCATGGAGGCCTGGCTAGGAGCAGCAGGCCACATGGGGGCGGCATGGAGGGCAGAGCAGTGGGGCAACGTCCTTGTGGGATTCTAAGCAATGGGGCCTTGAGTCAGGGCTCTCTGTTCCAGGCCTTCCCCAAATATGAGGCATTCATGAATCGGTTGGCATTAGCCATAGACCCTCTGCTGGATGCAGCGCCGGTGGACGCGGAGGCCTTCCAGAGGGGTTCCCTGCTGCAAAGGCTCAAGTCGCTCTCCACCCTCAAACCCCTGCTGCAGGCAGGTAAGTCCCAAGTGCAGGCATCTGGGTATGATGAGTGACCTTTGGGGACTCGAGCCCATTTTCCTGATGATTGGACCAAAGCCTGAACCTTCTTCAGCCTGCCACCTGCCACCAATTAATAGGGGCTGTCCGAGTACTCTGGGGAGAAGGTTTTCACCCAGCCCGCCCTAGAAACAGAGCCTGAGAAAAGGCTTATATGCAAACAGTTCATTTTGAAGGGTGACCCCAAGGAAAGGCGGAGTGCAACTGGAAAGATTTCCAGCGGGAGACGCTGCAGAGTTGCATGGACAAAGTGTGTGGATTCGGGGAGGAATGAAGGACCGATCAGAGCCAGTAGAATCTATCACAAATGCCAGAAGTAGACACTGCCTCTCAGATGACCAGTCCAAGAAGCTTCATGCGACGAAATGTATTAAGCAAGTGCTGTGTGCCAGACACTAAGCTAGGCACTGGGGCTACACCAGCTAAAGATCACGATCCGTGTCCTCAGAGCCCCCCTGCCCCGTGAGCCTCCGGCGTAGTGTGAATCAGCCTGACAGCAATGGCCTGGCCAAGCTGGCTGCCTCCCAGGGTATGGGCCTTACAGAGTTCGAAGTAAGGGAATAAGGTACAAGTTAACATTTTTCCAAAAATAATTCTAACAGCTAAAATGTATTAAGTGCCTATGAACTTGCAAATGCTTTACATATGTCACTCAGTCCTCACAGTAGCTCCTGGGATATGAAATATTACTCCCATTTTACAGATAAAGAAGTAGGAGCAGAGATATCACGGATTGGACTGACTCTTTCTTGCCTATCTCAGCCTATGTGTTATGGGTCTTCTCTTTTAGGTCGCGTGCTGGGAGCCCAGCTGCCCCAGTATTACCAGGTCCTCACAGCTCCAATTACAAAGGTGAGGGGCTCCCCAGCCTCAGGCTGGACCCCACATTGAGGGGGACTGTCCTCCCCAGGTCCCTATGCCCTTCTCCCTGACATTTTGCTGTCCTAGGTGCTGGATCAGTGGTTTGAGTCCGAGCCTCTAAAAGCCACTCTGGCAACGGATGCTGTGATCGGAGCCATGACAAGTCCCCACACTCCGGGGAGTGGGTGAGCGTGGGGTGTGGTGGTAAGGGGTGCAGCGAGAGCAGAGTGAATCCCCCACAAGTGCTAACAGCTGCTATTACCGCTCACCGAGCTCTCTGGGTGAGCCGGGCACGAAGCCAAGCTCCCATCTAACCCTCAGAGCAACATCTGAGAGCCGTGGCTCAGAGAAGGGGCAGGTCTTGCCTGAAGTCACACAGCTAGTGGTTACAGAACTGATTTCCAGCCCACGTTGTCTGACCCTCCAAAATCCTCCTTCTTAGCCACTACTCCTTACTGTTTCAGAGAAAAGCCTCTCTCCCCCTGTTACATCTCAACATGAACAACTTCCCACTCTCCTCCTCCTCCCCCACTTCCTCCTTCTTTTCTCTCTCTCTCCCTTTCACTCCTTCTTCTCTGTCTCTCCTCTTTTTATCTCTTCTCCTCCCACAAAGTCCCATTAGCCCTCCCCCCCACACACAAAGTTCCTTTCCCTGGGTTCCAAGACACACACGCGCGCGCGTGCACACACACACACACACACACACACACACACACACACACACACACCTTGGTGAGGGTGGAATGCTCTAGGTGGGGGCTGTGTTGACAGCCTGATCCAAGAGGGGGCAGGCAGACACAGTGAAGTCTGTACCTATGGGATGAGTTAATGGCCACTTGTAGGAGCAGGAACGGAGGGTGTGTGGGGTGTGTGTGTGTGTGTTTGTATGTGTGCGTGTGCGTGTATGTGTCTTGGGATAGAGGATACTGCCAAGTGTTGGGCCATTTCTGGTGTATCACAAGATGCAGCTAGAAGCTGTCAACGTGGCTTTTCTCTCAAAAGATGAGAACCACCCTTGGAAGTGGTTTTTCAACACACATTAAGCCAGCTCTGAATTCCCCAGGGCCATGGAAGAAGGGGGTTGGCAGCGGTTGCCATACTTTGGCCAACTCTGTGATCCACCAGCCAATTTGGATGTTCCAGCTGGTGCCTTCTGTCCTTTTCTCTGTAGGTCTCCAGGAGGCCTAGCTACTGCCCAGTTTATGAAGTGTGCCTTTAAGTAATTTGTTTCTTCATTAATTCTTTCAGTCAATATTGATGGAGCACTTCCCTGTGCCAGGACCTGGGGCCAGGTAGTGAATGGAGCTGAAATCCTAATAGGAGAGGTAGACACAGAGCAGATGATGATACCGGAGTTCTGTGAGGGTTAGGATGGGGGTAAAGCAGGGAAACAATGCTGTCCAGGGTCAGAGAAGGTCTCCAGGAGGAAGGCATGTTTAATCTGAGACTCTCAGGACAGGAGGAATTAGGTAAACAAACACGAGGGAGGAAGGGGCCTTGAACCTGCCAGAACAGCATGTGCAGACACTGGGGGCTGAGCACAGATGATGCGGGGGTTTGCTTTGGCAGGAGTGCGGACCGCAACAGAGAGCATGGTGAGGGAGGAGGCTGGAGCCCTGGAGGTCATTTTCAGAGACTGGCAATGACCCTGAGAGCAACACCAAGCCAGTGAAGGCATCAAAGGAGAGAAGTGACAGGACTCAGCTAGGTTTTGAGATTGGGCTCCAAGCCTGCAGGAAAGAAAGTGTGGGAGAAAGTGGTCCAACTAGAAGAATATCAGTGCAGCACTTTAGGGATGAGAGGAGAGGCCTGGATCAGGGAAGAGGCCTCAGGGAGCAAGAACTGGAAAGTTCTTTGGGAGGCAGGGTTGATGGCACCTGATGGCATGGAGGCAGTGCCCATTCAAAGGTTGTTGGGAAAGGCAGCACAGGGGGAGGGAGAGGCTAATGGCACCAGAAAGAAAGGTCTATTTGCATCTAAGCTCTGGGATTAAATCCCACCTCCAACCACTGATCCCAGTGGTCTGTCCTCAGGTATGTGCTGCTACATCACGTGATGGGGGGCCTCGAGGGGATGCAAGGGGCCTGGGGCTATGTCCAGGGTGGCATGGGTGCCCTCTCTGATGCCATCACCAGCTCAGCCACTGCACATGGAGCAAGTGTCTTCACTGAAAAGGTGAATGTCCCCCTACCCCTTACGCTGATTATTTGCAAGGATCTCAGTATAGAACCAAATGTCAAATTCAGAAGGTCCCTCCTTTAACCGAGGCACAACGTGGGGCTTGGAATCAAGGGGCTGAATTTATGTAGCCTGTTAATGGCTGGGCAGCTGTCAACCAGGCCCCTGTTCTTCAGACCACCTCCTTTGAATTTTCTGGCCCCTAACCCCATTTGGGCTGAGCCTTTCCATTAGAGTGAGTGGGCTAAGTCTTCACCACTTTGCTGCAGAGCCCAGCAGGGTGGCTTCAGGCTGAGGAAGCTGGCAGTGCCCCAGAGCAGCACAGACAATGGAAATCCTCCAAGATCCAACTGTATTTTTCTTCCTGGGGGGTTTCTGGGGCCTCACTCTGGTGGGCTCTAGGCAGTGGCCAAAGTGCAGGTGAGCAGCGAAGGGTGCGTCCAAGGAGTGGTGCTGCAAGACGGCTCGGAGGTGAGGAGTAAGGTGGTGCTGTCCAACGCATCTCCACAGGTCACCTTCCTGAAGCTGACACCACAGGTAAGGCCTGAGGGTGGAGGCAAGCTGTCCGCCAACATGGGGGGTGTTGGTCAAGGGAGCCAGGACTGCATGAGGACGGGAGATGTAAGTGCCAGGTATCTGCACTGGGGGAAGCCATCTCTTCCTTACCCAACAGGCAGGTAGCAAACAGGGAAGAAGCCTCATGGGTGGGAAGGAAGGTCCGAAGGAATGAGATGACCTAGGCCATGCAGCTGGTGACTGGCAGAGCCAGAGCTAGAACCCAGGTCTGACTTTTAATCCAGAGTTACCCTACTACCCTGATTCCCCCTCTAGCCAATGCTAATTCCTGCATCTGTGTCAATTATCTATGGCCATATGGATGCTCAGCTTGTGGGCATATATTAAGAATACTGATTTAGCACACAGAACTAGAGAATTCAGTTGAACTTGGCTGAGTTCAGCCGATCTGGGCTTGCTCATGCACCTTCCATCAGCTGTGGGTCAACTAGTGGGTCCTGTTCACCTTGGCTGGCTTCGCTCATGTGCCCAGGTTGGCTGGCTGGGGCTAATCCAGGACGATTTCCGCTGGAATGACCAGGTTGACTAGCTCTGCTCCATGTGTCCTTCATCCTCCAATGTAAGTCCAGGCATGTTCTCAGGGTCTGGCAGAGGACAAAAGTGAGCAAACTCATTCGTGCAGGTGCTTTTCAGGCTTCTGTTTGCATCCTACTTCCTAACATGAACTTGTCACAAGCGCAGAATCACAGTGGGAGGATGTTACAGAGGTGTGTGCATCTAGGGAGGGGTGAGGATTGGGGAAAATTTTTGCATTTGATCACACCTTCCCTGTCACCAGAAGGTATGATAATATGTATATGAGTATGGAGGTCCCAACCATTCTTGGGACTAGCTGGGGGGGGGGGGGGGGGGGACAAGATACCACTTTTTCTGAGTAATTCCACTAAGAAAATTCAACAAACATCTGTTCAAAAGTATCTTGTCAAGACAATTCTGAAATAACCAAGATTTACAAGAGCTTGGAGACCAGAGGAGAAAAGGGGCCTGTAGCCCACTGGCCGTATCCAAAGCAGGAGCTGGTGTGGGCCATATACATTGCTCTGGCAGAGCTCAAAGGAAGAAGTGGTTAGTGTTAAGCTGGAGGGGATCCAGGCTGACCTCACAGAGGAGGTGCTTTGGCTGAGCTCTGAAGGATGGAGAGGATTTCTGGCAGTAGAGGTTGAGGGACCATCCTGAGCAAAGGAAGAAGGCAGCCCCTTGGGGCCTCAGCCATCCTCAGGCGTTTTCATGGAACCTTCTTCCAGGAATGGCTTCCTGAGGAGTTCGTGGACAGGATCTCCCGACTAGACACCCAGTCACCTGTTACCAAGATCAATGGTAAGAGGCACACCAGACTGCAGAGCTGTCTCTTCTGACATTACCTGAGTGAGAAATTTCCAAGTCTGGGAAGAACTGGCGTACGTCATCACCTCTATTCTCTGCCCTCCAGTCTGCCCCCTAGTTTGAAGGTGAAACACTCTTTCATACTTTTTCTTTCCAGTCCATCACTTGGGTGAGCAGGGTGATGGGTAGAAAAGGAGGATCCTGGGGTCTGAGGACATGGGCCTTTGGGCCCTCATCCTCCTCTTTGGTCCATCAGTGGCTGTCGACAGGCTGCCTGACTTCCTGGCGGCCCCCAATGCTCCCGGGGGCCAGCCACTGCCCCATCACCAGTGCTCCATCCACCTGAACTGTGAAGACACCCTCCTTCTCCACCGGGCCTTTGAAGATGCCATGGATGGCCTGCCTTCCCACAGGTGGGTGGCCACTGGGCTTTGGTGTCCCCTCTTACAATCTTACATGCATGGGCCAGGTGAGGGGTGGGTGAGGGGTCTGTCTAGACATGGCAAGGATTGCCTCTTCCTCCTGGTGTTAAACATTCACAGTGTCTCAGAATCTGCCTAAACCCATACTTAAGTCCAAGGATAGGAAGTACATCTAGACAAGAAGGCTGTGGGCCAGGGCAGGTAAGGAGTAAAGAGTAGGACATGGTTCAGCCAAGTGTCACGTATTAGCAGGAGAGCAAAGGACTGCAGAGAAAACAGCACTGGCCTTGGAGAAGAATTGCAGAAAATGCTTTCTGGGAGAGAAGGGGTTTCTCTGATTTGGCAGCCTCATCAATGGGCACACACTCACCCAATACCCCTGCTCCATATTCTCTTGTCTCTGATAAGATGCTTTCATAGAAAACTTCTAAAAAGCATTTCCTACCTCCCATCCCAGCTGTCTCTCCATCCTTCTGGGAACAGGCAGGGACCTTACAGGAGCAAGTATCTCTCCATACTGTCAACTTCCACCAAAGCCTGTTGAAAACCTTTTCTGGGTGGGACTCTATTGAGTACAGGTTGGGGGAATTGGAGGTCAGGCAGAAGCATGAAACAGACACAGAGCTTATCGTAAGGCAGGCACATAAATATTTATAGCATGAGGTAAAGAGGACAAGTGCCCTGAGAGAAGGGTAAAAGGCAATGCCCATTTATTCACTCATAAATATTTTGGAGCCCCTACTCTGTAACAGGCTTAGTCCCAGAACCTGGGCACAGAGCAGCAAGCAAAGTCAACATGGCCTCTGCCCTCAGGTCACTGACCTTCTGTTGTGGAAGACAAGACAATCAACAAACATGCACTGATAATATGGAGAAAAATAGGTCAGAAGAAGGGAGGATTTGGTAGCCTTTATAAGAAGGTCAGGAAAGAAAGTCATCTCTGATAGCGTGGCACCAGAGACCCAAAGAATTGAGAATAAAAATCTTATCAATATCTGAAGGAAAACACCCAGGTAGAGGGCAAGTCAGGTGCAAAGGCCCTGGGGCAGGAATGGAGTGGTGTGTTGCAGGCACAGGGATGTGACCAGAGAGACCAGAGGAAGAGAACCTGGGAGTGAAGGGGGGTGGGGGTGGTCCCAGAGCTACGGCTGCTGTATCCTGCTGGGCCCTGGAAGCTACTCCTGGCTTTTACTCCAGGAAAGTTTGTGCAGAGCCTGACTTACATTTTGGAAAGACCCCTCTGGCCATTGTTTGGAGAAAAAAAGGCATCTGTTGCAATTAGTTACTATTGCAGAATCCAAGAGACAGAGGACTGTGGCCCAGACCAGGGTAGGGGTGGTGGAAGTGACAAGAAGTAGCCAGATAGGGGTACCTGGGTGGCTCAGTCGGTTAAGTGTCCAACTTCAGCTCAGGTCATGATCTCATGGTTCGTCAGTTTGAGCCCTGCATCGGGCTCTGTGCTGACAGCTCAGAGCCTGGAGCCTGGTTTGGATTATGTGTCTCCCTCTTTCTCTGCCCCTCCCCCACTCATGCTCTGTCTCTCTCTCAAAAATTAATAAAACATTAAAAAAATTGTTAAAAACAACAACAGCAAAAGAAGTAGCCAGATACTGGGTATTTGAAAGTGAAGCTGGCAGCATCTGCTGTTGGACAAAAGTCAGGTGTGAGCAAGAAAGAGGAGCCACTAAAAGATGGTGTTTGTCTTTACGAAGAAGGGGAATCTGGTGTGTCTGGCTGGGGAGGAGCAGGCTTTAGGCATTCGGGTTTGGACAGGTTACTCTGGAGCTGCCTACTGGACATCCAGGTTCAGAAGACACATTGTAAATGAGGGATGCAGGGAAAAGGCCATTTCACGTGGCCTGAAAGTGGTCAGATGTGGAGATTAGAGGGAAAACATGCCCCAAGGAGACGGGGCATTGTTAGCAGGGGAGGGGGTGGGAAACCGCTCAGGGTTCTGTCTGCTGGCCGCAGCCCCGGACGCTCTTATTTCCCCAGCCTGCTCAGGGAAAGGTGACCGGGGATGAAGTCCGGCTACCTGAGCATCTGCTGCCCTAGGCCTGGCCCCTTCCCTCATTTGTTTGTGCTGCCCGCTGGGCCCTGGAGAACTGAGAGGCCTGGCAGAGCCCAGGCTGTAGTGGAGGAAGGTGGGGACAGGCACCCATTGGGGAGGGAGGCTAAAGGGAACCAGAGGCCCTGGGGCGGGGGGTGGGGAGGCTGGTGAGGGACTGGGAGCTCCTCTGGAGCATTCTGGACTGTCCTGGGGGACACGGAACCCGTGCAGGCAAGCAACCACCACAGTCTTGAAGAGACAGTGACCTTGGCACCAGGTTACCCCGGGCCTTCCTTCGTTATGTCCCTGGCACCTCAGAGAAGCTCCCAGCCCTTCCTTCAGGGCAGCTGCTGTTCTTTGCCCCTGACCCTCTCTCCTCCCCCATGTGGCAGGCCTATGATTGAGCTCTGCATCCCTTCCTCGCTGGACTCTACCCTGGCTCCCCCCGGCTGCCATGTTGTCTCGCTCTTCACACAGTACACTCCCTACACGCTGGCTGGAGGCAAGGTGTGGGATGAGCAGGAGAGAAACGCTTATGCAGACAAAGGTAAAGAGGGCCAGACCATCCTGTCTCCAGAGTGACTGGTGGCCGTGCAGCCCCAATGGACCCCCCTCCTCCTATCTGCGCATTCAGGATTAACAATGCCAGGTCCTGCCCCAAAGGGAGAGAAGAACCCAAGGGAACCCAAATCAACACAAGGAGCGCCTGCTAGGGTCCAGCACTGGGCTAAGAAAGCCTGAAAGACACGATTCCTGTCCTTAACGTTACTCACAGTCCAGTCGGGATTTGGGGGGATGAATAGAGAAACCAGTCTTACAATACAACTTACTCTGTGAGTCGAAGAAGGAAGGTATGTGCCAGAGAGATAAGGAAGAGACATTTGAGCTGGGTTTTAAAGGAAGAATGGGAGTTGGCCAGGCAGCAATGGGCATTCCAAGCGAAGAAACAACTTGAGCAGAGCAAGGAGGTGAAGAAAGCTTTGCATATACACGGCAGACAAGTAACTTTGTGTTTAGGGGTGGGATGAGCAGGTGGGAAAGTGGGGTGGACCCAGAGGCCTTTGTAATGAATTATTTACTTGCCCATGGACTGTTTATGTATTTTTTGCTTATTGAGATATAATTTGCATATGATAAAAATAGACCCATTTTGAGTGTGTAGTTTAATGAATTTTCATACATTTGCCAAGTTGTACAATCATGGCGTCTCCTCTTCTTCCTGCTCACACCATCTCGTTTCTCTGCTGTTCTGTAATCAGTGTTTGACTGCATCGAGGCCTACGCCCCTGGCTTCAAGGGCTCCGTGGTGGGCAGGGACATCCTCACACCGCCTGATCTGGAGAGAATTTTTGGGCTTCCTGGAGGGGTGAGTATAAGGCATCCCTCATCACACTCTTCTCCCTGCACCCCCACTCCCTGGCCTGCCCACTTGGTTTTATCTTGTCTCTCCACACCCAGCCCATATCGAGAAGGGAGGACGGTGCAGAGTCCACGGTGGAGAGGGGACAGAGAAGTGGTCAGACCTAGGGAGTGGGGAGGAGTAAGATCAGACAGGAGAGGCAGTGCCTGCTGAGAAGGTCACCAGGATGTCCCCTGTCTGGACATCCATGGCCACCTCTCCCATCTGGCTTTCTTCAGAGGGAGCTCCCCTCTTAAGGTAGCAGGTCTTTGGACTTTCCTCTCTGATTTATCAAAGCCTTGTTGAGACTGGAGGCAAAGGGACCAGTTAGGAGGCCAGGTCCATACTGCAGCCACCAACTTCACGTGGCTCTTGGTGGTTTCAGTGGGTGAGGCCAAACTGAGGCGGGCTGTACACATAAAACACCCACCAGCCTGCAAAGGCTTAGGACAAAAAAAATGGAACACATCTCATTAATAATATTTGTTTTGGTCACATGTTGAAGTGATAATGTTTTGGCTCTGTTAGGTCAAGTAAAATATATTATTGACTTTCATTTCACCATTTTCTTTTTAAACTTTAATGTGGCTCCTAGAAAATAAAAATTGCATATGTGGCTCATGTTATGTTTTTATTGGACAGCGCTGGTCCAGATCTAGAGTGCAGGAGGCCAGACGGTGGGAAGGGAACAGAGTGGATGGATATGGGAGGCATAGGGCAGGCTGAACTGAGAAGTCTCAGTGTAATGTGGTCAGGGTGGAGGTGACGTGAAGGGTCCACCTGGAGGCCCAGGCGGGGAAGGTGATGTCGCCCACCGAGGTGGGGAAGGTGGAAGAGAGCAGACTTGGGGGGTAGGGGAGGAGGAGCCCAGCTTGGGACATGCTGACGTGGTTAGCTGGAGGGACGTCCAGCAGGTGTGATCTTCTTGTCCAGACCCGCCCTGCAAGTCTGACCTTCCCCTTCCCCTTGCTCCCGCTGCCCCCACACCTTCCCAGCTGCTCGGACCCCAGCCAGGGGAGCAGGACCAAGCCTGAGTACCCTGTCCCTGTCTGCCATCCACTGTGACTCTGCTGGGGCTTGGACCCCTGGGACCCAGGCTCAGGTGGGTGTCTTGGCCAAGGAAACATGAGCCGGCTGCCAAAATAGGTCAAATCCTCCATTTTTCAAACAGACTGAGGAGGATTTGTAGTCCTCGGCAAACACTTAACATCTTCCTCTTCTTTCCCTCTCACACGCTGAAGGTGCTCCTCACCTTTCTTTCCTCCTGAAAAATGCCTCTGGAAAACTCCATCCCCAGCCCAAGGACATGCAACTGTCCTCTCTCTCCCCTCCCCTTTCCAAGAAAACATGCCGGAAGGAAAAGAACCTTCCTTGGAGAAGGGGAGGGGAAGAAACCTGCAAAGGCCGGAAAGACCATAACGCTCCTATGTCAACGACTGTGGCCCTGCCTCCCACAGAACATATTCCACTGTGCCATGACCCTGGACCAGCTCTACTTCGCCCGCCCCGTGCCCCTGCACTCCAGCTACCGCTGTCCTCTCCGGGGCCTGTATCTCTGTGGCAGCGGTGCCCACCCTGGTGAGTGACATGGGCCCTCTTCCCTGTGCGGGCTGTGGGGGCTGGCTGGACGGCAGAAGCTTGCTGATGGGGGAGAAAGGGGGCAAGGAGAGATGGAGGGGAGCAAGGAACTCCCATGAGAACAGGCCATCCCCCATATTGGGGATTCTCAGTGCACAGGAAACAGGTGGGAGGAGGGGACTCTGCCAGCTGGCCACACCCTCGGGGTAGCTCCCACCTCCTCCAAACGAGGTTTAAAAATTTGCCCCAGAGGCGGCTCTCCAAATGCCAGCTTTGGTTGTGGAAGACCCGTGTCCCTGAATTCCCCCTCCAGATGTCAGACCAGCGGGAATTGGTAACATTACGTTTCTTAATTTAAAAATTCTTGCCTGCGTCCATTCCAAGCCTCGCTGACCTTGCCAGGGCTGCCATCCCCTGTGGACACGCCCCAGAGAGGTCTGAGCTTCCACCCCTTGCCCCTTGAACCTTTAGTCTGACGCTTTAGTTTCACGCCCGGAGGGTCTCCATCCAGCGCGTTGGCTTTCCAGACTGAGGGGGCAGGTGCTTGGACTGTGCACTGGGCCCCCTGCCCAGAGTTCTGAGCAGGAAGCCTGGAGGCGAGCCCAGAATCTGTCTTAATAGTCGTCCCAGTTCTGATGCTCACGTCCCCAGCACCGCCCTGCAGGTGCCCATGCTCTGCTTCCTTGCTGGCTTCCCCACGAGCTCTGGCCCTGCCTGCTCCCTGGGGACGGTCGTGAGCACCGCTTAGGTTCACGGGAGACTCCCTTCCAGGAGGAGGCGTCATGGGAGCCGCGGGACGCAATGCAGCCCATGTCGTCTTCAGAGACCTCAAGAGCATGTGACCCTGAACCGACTCTGACCCAGGACAAAGAATCTACCCTTGAGATTTTAAGTCCCCATTGGGTCAGTTTCCCAGGATACGGCAGACAAGCCCTCATGCTCAAGGCACTATTTTAGGAGAAACGTACAGGTTACATTTGATACTTGTTAACCTGGTACCCATGTCTTCATGAGTGAACCAGTTTTGTGTTATTAAAAACAATGTTTTAGATAAGTGGTTTGTGTCTTTTCTATACATTACTATATATTTTGTATGTTTTAGTAGATGCAGAGATATAGACACAAATATGGATAGATATAGATATAACCACCTCATTACTTAATCTCGCTCAACTCAGATTTTTCATCTGTAAAGGATTGGCTCTAAAGATCAGGTAGGACAATAGGTCATACTTTAGTCCAGTATCTGGCACACACCATACACATTCAGGGCACGGTGACGGTCCAGCTGCTAATATTATCCATGAAGGTCCTATTGTCATTTTTGTGTTCTGAGGAAGGGCGTCTCTTCAATGTTCTTTGTTTAACCTAGCACCTAGAACTGAAAACAGCCTGCTGGAAGCAGTGTGACCAGGACAGAGCAGAGTGATCTTCGGGTCCACTGGGCTTTTGGCACAAGAACGGCCACCAAACTAAGTACGGCACCCTGTTCGGCGTTGACAAACTGAACTTCTGAGCTTGTTGAAAATTTGATTCTGGTCTGGGTTCTGAGATTTCCATTTCTTACTTGCCCTCAACCCCACGTGCTTCATCCCAGGGCCCAAAAAATGTTTTTCCCAGGGGAAAACATTTGGAAGAAAGGGAGGGAGGTAGAAAAGGGAAGCGAGGAAGAAGGAACATGTGGGGCTGAGGGCAAGTGCTGGCTGAAATCTCTGGTGAGACCACGTCTTCATTTTCTGCAAAGTCAGCTGCCTTGTTTACCTCTCACCTGGTCTCAGCACACTGGCCCCTTCCCAACTGCGGGCATGAGGAGAGCAGAACTGAATAACAAATAGGAACCTGCCAAATCCCCAGAGGCCTGGGGCACATCACATCCAGCTTGGTGTTTCAAAATACCAATGATTGGGGTATTGTTTTGTTTTTTATTTTTTGGTGAACAGAAGTCACAAAAGCTTGTAGGAATGTAGGAAATTTCAAAAATACAGTAAGAACATAAAACTCAAAAATAATCTTACCTGCAGAGAAAATCGCCATTACCATTTACAGTATTTTCTTGGGGTGCTTGGGTGGCTCAGTCGGTTAAGTGTCAGACATGGGCTCAGGTCATGATCTCATGGTTTGTGAGTTCGGGCCCCACATGGGGCTCTGCACTGACAGCTCAGGGTCTGGAACCTGCTTCAGATTCTGTGTCTTATTCTGTCTCTGCCCCTCCCCCACTTGTGCTCTGTCTCTCAGTCTCTCAAAAGTAAATAAATGTGAAAAAAAAATTTACGGTATTTCCACAGTCTTTTAGATAGTAGGGATCATATTCTGCATTCAATATGTGGGTTTTACATCTTTATTTTCTTAAAATGTTTTTTGATGTTTATTTATTTTTGAGATAGAGAGATAGAGAGCAAGCAGGGGAGGGACACAGAGAGGGAAACAGAATCCCAAGCAGGCTGCATGCTGTCAGTGCAGAGCCTGATGCGGGGCTCGAACCCACGAACCACAAGATCATGCCCTGAGCTGAAATCAAGAGTTAGACGCTTAACTGACTGAGCCACCCAGGTGCCCCATTTTTATTTCCTTTTAATTCACATCATGAGCACTTTTCAGCCATAAAAATTATCTGAAAACTTTATTTTTAATAGCTGCCTAATATTCTCATTTAAGGGTATACCATAATTTATTATGGAACATTGGGTTCAGCTTTGGCCTTGATTGCTAGCTAGCACATACTCTTTTTTTTTTTTTTTT